GTGAAGCACCAAGCTTGATGGCCGGTCATCATGCAATTTTGCATGACTCCGTCCTATAAAAGAGGTCGCTGTACTACTGCGGTGTAGGTGGGATGTTGCAAGTGAAGATTTGATGAGCTTGTACGCAAGATTCATGCCTAGACAAAAGTACAACTTATGCTTGTGGCTGGCACATGAACAGTAAACTTCCTGAGAAAAATATTGCTTCTTGCCCAGTCTAACTATCGAGTTAATTGGATGCCAACAATGTTCCAAACTAATCATTCACTTGTGCACATGCAAAACTTAAGCATGCTTTAAAGTCGAATTTGAAGTATTTAGGTCAAACACTGGCATAATATATCCTCTTAAAATTTCAGCTCCCTAGCTTGATTCGGTGGCAAAATCATTTTTCATTGCAAATATCTTTGCAATGTTCGGACGCGCGCTACAGGAATTTCCCAAAAAGTTACTTTTTTGAACGGAAATTCATTCTGATTACTGATTTCTTATACGGGGATAATCAGGACCAAAATTTTTTTGCTTACGTTTTTCCCCCGATTTCGTGACACTGGATACAGAAACTGCATTTGCTTTTGAGTTTCTGATATATTTTGAAGGAAATCTGAACAGGTCAAATCAGTAGCAGTGTTCATGTGCCAAATTTTTAGGTTTTTTGATGAGCTGATCAACAATGTAGAAGATGAAAGCAGCATATCGAACAGGATCAAGAAAGTTGGCCAGAGTCATGTAATTCTATGCCAGAGTTCTTTCAACGCCGATATCTGGGAGAAGCTGGGCGAAATTACCATGGAATGCTTTAGCAGCCTGGATGCCGTACAGGTCCGATCCATTTGCACTTGTATTAACTTTAAAGGACGGTTTCACGTCTACACCAAGTGATTTTTCGAAAGTCGGCATGACTTACAACATACCTAGCAAAGAATCTGTTGCCCATTTCCGAGTGAAGACTGGGTACTTCTGATTTTGAAGTCCGCAAACTGCTGTATGTTAACTCTTGTTGTTATAAGCTAATAATATTGACGCTACTGGCTGAGTTGGAGAATCGTAATATGGAAATGGGACTGTGATATATCTAATACTTCGCTTCAAGGGAATCAGAGAAGCAAAAAACTAAAACTAGCATCACTAGCAGAACGTATTGTGTTTTTTCAGCTAGATGATGTACCTTGGCCAAATCAGGCATAAATAAATAGCGGCGCGCATCAGGTAGCCGGTACGATCATGCATTTTGTGCAGTCCTGTCCAGTGGGTGGTTGTGTAAGTCTCCTCGGCGGACGCTTTTGCAGCTCTGCTTTTACGCTTGCGCAACTTTGTTCAGAGGAACCTTGCTGTTGAAAGTGCCCACTGCATTACTACTTGATACATTACATTCGCGCCAAAAGTTTCGCATTTTGCTGCTTTTGGTTCCCGAGTTATTAATCTTGAAGCCAAAATTTTTGCATATCTATAATGGAAACTTTGATGTGCGCGAGGGCTGAATATAAACGCGGACAGGAGCATTATTCTGAAATTTAAGCTTCTTAGCTTTCTTGGTTCGTGAGCTATTAATTTAGATCCCCAAAAACTTCATACGAACTAAAGTACGAGCTAAGCGTACGAGGAAGCTGGATTTAAGATTGCGGGGTCAAACGCAGGTAAAGAATATTCTCCTAAATTTTCAGCCTCCTGGCTTTCCCGCTTCCTGAGTTACTAATTCTGGAGCAAACGATTTCACTTGTCCCTAAATGAGATCTAGACATACAGGGGTCCGATTTTAAAGTTACGGGATCGTGCGCGGTAGCGAACATCCGCCTAAAATTTCGGCCATCTAGCCTTTCTGGTTCTAGAGCTATTAATTTTGGTGCCAAAAATTTTACGTGCTACCACATGAGATCTAGGCATGAAAGGGAGCTGAATTTGAGTTTGAGGGTTATACGTGGTAAAAGACATTTCCCTAAAATTTCAGCTTCTTACATTCCGTACTTCCGAGTTATTAATTTAGACACCAAAATTTCATGTGACAGTAGGTGAAGCCTAGACATGTGCGGACGCTGAATTTGGATATGCGAGATC